ATATAGTTTGGTAGACTATCTATTTACTTGAGTTTACGTGTTTATAAATATCGTAATAGTAAACCGCGTTCTGTTACTTCGTCATTCGATTATGCGCTTTGTACGAGAGTGCAATGCGAACCGAGTGATATTACATTTGAGATGTGTGTACGTATGTGTCGTGTGTCAAACGTAAATCCCGGTGGAAGTAGTTTCGCTCTGAGATCGCCGCCGTTTCTAAGACGTTCGTCCGACGCGCGCCACTCGGACCAAAAAGCAACGCCGATTGACAGATCTCGGGGCAGATCGGCATTCGGGTCGATGCTCTTTGACTTCGCTCGAGGACAACGAGAAAATGAAAATATATATAATGCCGATGAGAGGAGATGCACACGGCTGCGACGTCCTAGATTCGGCGAAAAAGAAATCTAAAACGCAGTACAGGAAAGTGTCAGAGACCGAACTGAAACGCTCGGGCCAGAAGAGAAGGAAAGAGAACGATACTGCTAAAGAAGAACAGCGCTCGCGCATATACATGTACGAAGAAAGTTCACCGCGGGTCTCGCGACACGACGGTTGAATTCCCGTCAGATGTTAGAAGTACTAGACGAAATCGGCGAAGTTTCTCTACAGCTTAAAGTTACAGGTAAACGACTAGCTGTCGATAGTCCTGAAGTTTCACCTTCAAACTTGAACTGGGCGAAGATTGACTATTACGGTGGGATATCGATGGCGGACTATCGGACAGCGCGGTCCTAGTTTTCTTTTTTTTCTTTTTTTTTTTTTCCTTTTCTTTGCTTCATTTCGTGTAAATAGTTATAAGAGAGTACGATAGGAGGCAATAACAGGTTCACGGATAGTCGATTGACAAGTTCTCTTTTCCAAAGAACGGTACAAGCGTGTCCACTCGGTCAACATTCACGAACAGTTCGAACGACCGTTCCCCATTATGACTCTCGAAGAGCAAAACGGTCTCGCTGATCTTTGATTCTACTCGGTAATACTCGCATCATTTAGCTTTAGTTTCTTTTCTTTCTGCATCGCTATCGTACAGAACGTGCGAAAAGACAGGCGAAAACTATATATATAGCGATAAATTCGTGTAACGCGCGTCAAAAGTGGCGCGAGGAATGTTTTCGAGAGAAAATGCAAGAAATAAGATAATCACGGAACGGAGATGGAGGGGAAATGAGGATAGATAGATAGAAAGAGATAGAGATAGAGA